CTTAATTCCCTGCAAAATTACCAGTTGCATAATAACACCAGAAGACAACGGCTGAAATTAAATGTGTCTTGAAGATTAATTTAGCAAAACCGTAAGTTAATGATATTGAAAGGCTGATTATTTTATCCTTGGGGTGGTTCCGAGTCCCTTTATGTTAACAGGAACCCAGTAAAGTTAATAAAATACAGTATATAATTAAACCAACTGTGATGGGTAAGTTTTTTTATATATATTTTATGTATTTTTTATAACGGCTGGGAAATAATTGAGAACTCGCTTCCAACATCCTTCATCAAAACTGAATGTCTTGAAGAAAAGCTTTTACCTTGGGGTGTAACCAGGAACATTATTAATTCAGGTAAAACTGTTACAGAAAAACAATCCTAAAAAAATCTGAGAATGGTCATTTTTTTCTAAGATAATCTTACACTTCAGACCAAGTGCATCTTGAGGAACCCAACAAGAGCGTCTGTCTCGTAAGTGGCGAGGCGGTGATTGGTAAACATGAGGTCGGTTGTTTGCAGCAATCGTGCAGGTACTTGAACAATCCAGGTAACCAAACCTGAATAAACAGACGAAGTGTACATCATGCAGAAAGACGCAGGATCTTAACACAACAGCCATGAGGATCTTTAAAGATCACAACCAGCTCCTTAATTCCCTTAGTGTGTTAAATGAGAACTGTGAAAGACACGACCATCCATCCAAATTAGCGGGAGAGCACTTCTTTACACAGCGTGTAGTTAGAGTATGGAATAGTCTTCCTGTTCATTTAGTGCAAGCTAAAACCCTGGGTTCCTTTAAATCAGAGCTAGATAAGATTTTAACAACTTAACTGTTAGTTAAGTTCTCCCCAAACGAGCTTGATGGGCCGAATGGCCCCCTCTCGTTTGTAAATTTTTTATGTTCTTATGTTCATCCATGCATCCATCCATCCATCCATCCATCCATCCATCCCTCTAACTGATTTTCCAATACAGGAACAGGGGACACCCTGGATGGGATGACAGTCCATAATAGAGTATTTAAGATATTTACCAGGGTGTGTGTACTAGTGTTACTGCTCTATTAGTGGTGTGCTCCACACACACACAGAGGTTTGTAATTATATCTTTGTGGGGACTCTCCATTCATTTCTATGGGGAAAACTCTAATCCCAACATGACAACCTTAACCCCTACCCAGCCCTAACCTTAACCATAAGTAACCAAACAAAATACGAGACTTTTGGCATTTATATTTTTTTGAGTCACAGATCTTTGTGGGGACCTGAAAAATGGTCCCCACAGTGTAATATAAACCTGATCATACACAGACACACATACACACAGACAGACATACATACAGACACACACAGACACACACACACACACACACACACACACACACAGACACACACACAGACACAGACAGACACATACAGACACACTTCTGATGCATCATGTAGCAAATATGTCCTTCATTCTAATAGGAACCCGAAGATTTATTTCAGGCAGAATTATAAATACGGCTGTCATTTCATTTACCACAGCATCTAAAAACTAGGTGTTTATACACAAGTGCTTTATTTCATATGCATAGAAAAAGTGCTTTTAATGACACAATAAACAAAGGCTGCTACTGAAAACCATGTTTATCTCCAAAAAACACTCAATAAAATGGATCATAACAACAACAACATTAAGAAGCTAATTTTCGCCTGTTTAACGGCGATCATGTATGGGAAATATGATGGCCACTTAGAGTGTTTCGATTATCCTATTCTGAATGGCAAAGTGTGGAAATCCACATAGACAGTGAGGGGAATTGAGTGGGGGTGTGGGGGGCATTTAAAGCTCTGGGTATTGATCTACACCCAGACGCAGTTAGGACGATGGAGCCCACAATCACAGCAGTGGGGCGTGGCCTACTGATTGGCATAGCATCCGCCAATGGGGCGTTAGTATCCAAAATGCACGACACCCACAAAGCATCGTCAGACGGACATTTACCTGTGGATTTAAAGTGTGACCTCAACTGGCAAGGAGGAGCAACTACAAGGAGTGTCATTGGATTCATGATTTAACCGACGGCAAACCATAAACTTAATCTGTGGTAATTCAGCCAGCGCGAGAGCATCCTTTCAAAATTATAAAAACCGACAGATAAATCAACGCAATAACACGTTAACTAATTATAAACTGCCATGAGGAGGAACTCCGAAACAGCTACGCTAAATGCTAAATCTGAACAAAAAAGCACAATCTGCCAGTGACTGCGAACAAAAGGTGCTCGTTAAAAAAAAACTGTACATTTTTAGGCACAACTAACTGACATGATAAATCGGCCTGATAGGAAAGAGCACGGTAGACAACATTATAATCTGTCTGGCTTTCTTCCCGTCTCCTGTAAAGAATAATTTTCTTTACTAATGCCCCCCCCCTCCTGGAGGCTGCTTCTCCGCTTGCGTCTCGCCTGCGTTTTCACCTTTAGCTGACTTGCGGCCATGTTTAATTGGCACCAGTGCGGGTAGCTTGTCGGGCACTGTAAGCGCAGCGCGTGGCAGGGACGCAGATGGCGGCCAGATCGCAGCGCGCCCGGGAGACACCCGTCGCGGTCACCAAAGCCGGTCCCAAAGGCGAGGGGTGTTTTTCCGACCTCGATGATGAAATCTCCTGCAAGTGCTGATGGCTTTGTTCAGTTCAAAGGGTTTCGCTTTTTTGAATCTAAAAAGCTCCGTGTTAGCGCCTCATGTTACCAGTAGTGTTCACTTAATTTTCTATTGTTATTCTGATTAAATTATTTGCTGAAAAGATCAAAAAAACCCCAGATAAAATTAGATATTGTTTCTGAAGCACATCACTACGGAAGGAAGGCATCTGTAGGGAAAGCGACATTACGGTTTTATGAGGAACACTGTCATTCCTTCAGAAACCAGAAGAACAAAGTTTCTGGGGCTACAGGTAGTTTGTGTTCTTGCCTTTTGTTTTTATTAAAGTACTTAATCAGTTCGCTACACTGCAGCTGCGGCTGACATCAGACGCAGTGCTCATTTGTTTCACAGTATCAAGTCATAATTGTGTCTGAGAGTTCACAAGTATATTGATCAGGAATGGCTCACTGGGAAGTGGTACTTCCCTATGCCTACAAGATTGGAGGGGGGGGGGGTAAATTCCAGCCCACTGCATGTAGGCAGATTGCATTCTGTCCCTCTGGTGCATGGACTTCCTCTTGTAATTCACCCAACTGCAAGTCTTTGCAGTTGGGTGAATTATTGTCTACAAACCGCCCAGTGTTTGCGTGCTGTGAAGAGCTGGCATGTCACAGCCCAATGCTGACCCTGTGTCCCCATAACCCTGAGCCAGGTAAGCGGTCAGACGGATGGAAGGCGATTTTGCATGAGGCCTAAGTCACTAATAATCTAGTCAAGAATTCAGTGTTGTGTTCGGTCCCCTCGAACCGATCAGCTGTCGCCGCTCTCCTGCTAATTCTTTGATCAAAGTTTCCTGGCACAATGGGGACTGGTGCTGGTTTGTGATGCTGGAGGTGGAGGTGTGGAAGCTGGGGCAGGGTAATGAGCTGGGTAACACCCGGAGATGTTCCTGATGTGTGCTCCTGCCCGTCACAGACACCTCATTAAAGAGGCCGCAGAGTGTGAGGAACGATGCAGTCGCAGGAATCTAAAAGGGCCAAAGATTAATTACACCCATGAAAGATGAAAAAGGCCTGAGAACTTATTAAAAATGTTGGACGTCCGCCAAATGCGTCTCGGAAGGCCGGATCTCTCCATCCTGTTCCCCCGTGCGGATGTGATGTCAGTTCTGATGCGATCCCTCTTCAAAGCCTGTGATTTTGCCGATGTTCCTCCTTCCCAGGGAGCCTCTGAATCACACATCGCCGGTTAGTGATGGATTCTCATTCACGAGTCGCACACGATGCTAGAACCCAGGGCCCTCCAACCTCGACGACTGTGCCTCTGCGGAACCGACAGCCTTTGTTTCCCCTCAGAGGCTCTGCTAAGGGAATTACTCTGGTCAGCATCCCACAGAGAGCTGGATCCGTGACCCGGCACCTTCCGGCCTGCTCCAGATTGCCGCTTCCCCTGGGGCTCCACTGCAGGAAGTATCTCGCTGCGTAAAACTCCAGACGGGCTCATTAAGGACACGTGCCAAGCAAAAGAGTAACTGGGGCACTACAACGGCCAAGCAGCCTGACCTTTGACCCACATGTCGCCACTTCCAGTCACTGCAGGATCTCTACTTTTTGGCTCTTTGACAAGCGACAAATATCGGACAAAACTCTTGCTCTGGACATGTATGAACCAAAGAAGCAACATTATAAACTTACATACAGCATTTGTGAAGTAATGCAAGCAACAGCCGTAGTTCTGTGTCCCATTACTGCTGATAAAGATACAAATCAATTAATTATATGATGCCTCTATATTAGACACGTTACGTCTATTAAACTAAACATCCACACCGACTACACACTGTAAAACCTGATGTGATATCCTGTAAATGTTTTATTAATATTCTGGTTTTTGACCACAGGCTATTATTAAAGTTAATTGATAATTACTATCGGTACTTACTAATGCTTTTTAGATTAAGATACGGACAGTTTTACCTCATATTATCTGCTTTTTATGAGTTAGGTCTTATTCTGTGCTTATTCTTGGCAGTTCTCATGCAGAGACATAGTTAAACCAGATGAGAAATATCTGGGCGGACCAGAAAAACCTAAGAATCGGAGTCACCTTCGTTCAGAAAGTAGAGGAAGGAGCATAGTCGTTGCTTGCCAACCCAAAACCACCGCAACAAACAGTTAGTGGACGCTAATTCACTGAGTGTATCTGATACGGGTGAATGACACGTGTATGTGTGCCTGTGTCTGTGTTGGGGGGGAGGGGGGTAATTCTGACCAATCACAGCTGCATGTGGGAGGGGCACTCGTAAATATGGGAGGGGCTTGTGCCGTCTTGGCGCCATCATTGCACAGAACTCCCAGAATGGACTCACCAGTGCCCGGCTCACATTCCTCGAGGTCCTCGTCATCGCTGGGGCACTCGGCTGAGGCCACGAGGATGTCATCCGTGTTCTGGAAGGCAGAGACAAGCGACAGTGAGAATGGTCTATATTATAAAGGGGGAGCAGAGTGATATAATACTACAGTATCACTGTCAGCACAAAACGAAACCCAACATAAAAACTCAGACTCTTCTTAGTCTCTTTCATTTGCAATTTAGATTTAATCTGCTTAATAACTGTCGCGTCACTTGAAGAGATTAATCCAGCTGGCGTTCCTAGCTCAAAGTCTCCCCATTCCGTTTCAGTCTCCAGGTATAATCGCACAGATTACTCTCTCATCAAGTAATGAATCAAAGAACGTTCTACTTAAAATCGTTCGATTCCCGTCCGCGGATCGTTGGCCTTCAGCCTCGCAGAGACCCGCGGCGTTTGCTCCGTAAATGATCGGACTGATGGAAGCGTTCCGCTTTACCGCCACGTGCGCCGTTAGAGCGTAATTCTGCTGATTTTCACGGAACTGCCTTTCATACACGGGAGTTAATGTTCTGGGCCGGGATGCCAGGCTCATAGAAAATGCAGCTTGATCACGCCGCCGATTGATTCCCGCTCCTTGGTTTGTCCCCCGCATCTCCGCTTGCCATTCCAAATTGCATTATTAATCAAAAGCCAAGGAGGAGATCCAGGCTGCGGCGGTTCCTGTGCCACACAGGCGAGAAAGAAAGAGGCTCTAATCAAATAAAGATCAGTGCGCAGGTATATGACGTCTGCAAACCTCACTGAAGCTGGGACGCCATCCACGTCACCATTGTGATGTGATGACAGTGACAAGAATAAGACGAAGTGGCAGGCGGGGGGGCCGGGGGCACTTAAAGGTTGACAGACAAAATTCCCGTAGCACCAGCAGAACAGCAGGAAAAGGTTTATTCTGAAGAGAGCTGTTGGAATTAACTGTATTAGTCACTCGCTGGCAGAAAACTATGGATTTCGGTTGGCAGAACAGACCAAGAAAATAAATTTTTAGGGTAGATTGGTTTGTATCGATAAGATAAATGGTAATATAATATAATATAATATAATTTTTCTAAAAATCATGTAAAACACCCTTGATCGGACCCAACGAGAAAGCACCATATGGAACAGAGATACTGTGGGGACCCTTTTCTTTCACCTGTTCCATCCTGCTATCCTTCGGACACACATGGAGGTGAGATCAAGCTTAGGGGGCCCAGTGCAGTGGCCCTGGAGTAGTTAGGGGTTAAAGGCCCAGCTCCAAAGCCCAACAATGGTATCAGCCAGGGATCTGAACCGATGACCTTCCGGTTGCAGGCATGGAGTCCTAACCCACTGAACCACACACACCCCCACACATGAGTGGGCTTCTCCTCCAAAGGTTCCTAGTCACACCCAGCGCCAGCCTGCGTAGCGCACCGCTGATCCTTCAGTACACCTTTTGAAAAGTAGTCCCGCGTACCCCGCTGCCAGGACGAAGAACGCCTCGCTTTTGCACCGTGTGATTCCACACTGTAAACCTGCCTGCGCATAGGTGGTGGGAGAGGAGAGGAGCTTTCAGCCGTGTTACGCTGCAGCCTGAGCATGTGGCCAGCGGCAGGTGACCACAGGAAGGCTTTCCCGAATGTCTGTTGACACTTTGTGTGGACAGAAGCCCCACAGCCATCTCTAGCCTCTTGGTAAACGCAGCTGCATGTCACAACTTGCCAGTGAACAAGAGCTTAATGCTTTTCCCACCAGCACAGTAATATAGATGGGGGGTAGGGGGGTTGTAGGTCCCAGTCTAAATGCTAATGGTCTCCCAGCTGCCTCAGCCTAATCTTAAACTCTGTTCTTCATCTTCTGATTTTCCACCATGTTGGCGCCAGAATAAATCTGAAGGTGAGGCCCAAGACTTTCACCAGCTAATAGGCTAATCTTTTTTAGCATCTTTCACTGATTATTTTTTTTGTTTTGGGACAGTAGGGGGAGGGGCACAAGTGCTCCTGCATGGTGCCAACCTTGGGCGTAGTTACAGATGAATGGATGGGGGGGCGGCTGAGTCTTTCCTATCCATGAATTAAGCCAATAAACGCACGTTTATTTAGAGGGGCTAAAAAACATTTTATGGGGGATAAAGTCGCCCTCAAAGCGGCTGGACTATGCCGTGGTTCTGGTGGAGAAACAGAGAATCTCTCACTTACCCGGACCAACTCTACGGCAAATAAGAGGTGGAGTTTTATACAGGATGGCGCAGAAATGCCAGGAATTCTCCATCCTCACGAGAGGTAAGTTTGCGTGTTAAAGGATTATGAAATTCAGGGTATTTCACTAATTGCCAGCCACTAATGAGGGGTAACATGTAGATACGGGGAAAGCGCTGGTTACCAGATGTAATTAGCGTACTTTTGTCACAGTGTACTAGTCAAACAGACCGTACATCATCTCAGCCCCATGTCATCCACTGATCTTTCCTTAGCTACAGCGCTAACGGCTGCGTCTTTCCGTGGGACTGAAGGACGAAGAGGGCGTGACCGTCCAGCAAGCGCAATGTGGGCCCCCCCGTCTGCATCAGCGTAGCCCGGCAGCCTTTTTAGCTTGCTAGCTAAGATGCTAACACGCTCCCCCATCTGCGGCTCCCTGCCACATCCGGCCTGTTACCTGTTAACCCTGGAATAGTGAGTAAAATCCTCCCAACTTATTCCTCGGGTATGATTTAAAGATTAATTAACCAGGGCTGTTGAGGTGCTACTGCACCCCCTACTAGTCAGATGAAAATGCTATCCAATAACAACTAAATTATATTGTAAAGTTATAATTGAAAATTTGGCTTGTGTGAGTCATATCAATGTGTAATAGTAATTTATTCCAAATGTGTGCACTATGTTTTTTTCCACAAATTTATTTATGTGGATGAATGAGTCTCTCATCTTGCACCCCCTGGGAGATAAGCCTCGGGTTGCCTGTGTTGTAATGCAGATCTTAAATACCCCATCAATAGCGCAGGTGTGTAACGGTAAGGGCTGTCAGGCAGCAAGAGCGACGCCCCCTAAAGGCAGCCCGAATAGCACCTGAACGTGTTCGTCTGTCGATCAAGCGCCTTTCTGTGACACGGCCAGCGTTCGAGAGGAGACGGCGGACAGATACGTATCTTCCTGGGATGAGAAGGAATGAGGCCGTGGCCCGTATCTTAGTTTCCGTCGTCAGTGCTGCGTGGAGCTGAATATGAAGAACGGCACCAAAGCGACGCCATTAAAGCTGTTGTTCTCGACGCGGTACGAGCACCGGCGCCTCGAACCCGTCACGCCGGAGCCGGGAATCACAGCTAGATCCTGCCGCCGTTTCAGTCAGCTGTCATGCGTTGTCTTGAAACGCTCACAGTCAAAAGCAATAATACGAACATCATTGTCCTCTATAAATACACCAACAATATACCATGGCTTATTCAGCTGCATCATGAAAGGTTTATTATTTAGAATTATAAATATTCACATCATACATATTCCAAGCCAACAAGGCAAGATTTTTACAATGATATTTGTTTTTATTGAAAAAAAGCTTTTTCCCATCCATCCATCCATCCATCCATCCATCCATCCATCCATCCATCCATCCATCCATCTTCAAACAGCTTATCCTGGTCAGGTTCGCGGGCCTGGATCCTATCCAGTACAGGGCACATGGCTGGGATGCCAGTCAATTGAAGGGCACTTGCACACACTCTATGGGCAACATTTATGCAAACTGCATGTCTTTTGACTGAGGGGGAAAACCCATGTCACACATGAAAACTCTACACACACACACACAATCCATGAGGTTGGCGTGACGTAACAGAGCTGCACACAGAGCCACCAGACCACTCAGAAGAGGCACTCTCCTTATAAGGGAATATATGGGACTGGTGTCCTGAAAGGAATTCTGGGACAGCAAGCTATCAAAATAACTGCCTAGTATAGTTGAGGCAGGGAAATTGAAACCCGCCGCGAGCAGACGTGCGTACGCACCAGCCGCCTTCATTCCCGTCTTCTGCTGGTGACCCAGAGACCTGATCGCAATGCAGAGCTCAGATGGAATCTGCACACGAATCTACCGAAATCACACCCAGGTTTCTGGGGATGAAAGAAACAAATATCGGCAAGAAGGGCTCAGAAAAGAGCACGTTTCCATAATCTGCACGTGAGAGCGAGATTCTGCACAATCAGATTCCAGAACTGCGGTTCCTATTGTTATTGAAATGAAGACGCTGTCGCCTCCATAATGATTTTAATTTTCAATGTCTGTGTCTTAATTAAATTCACTGTGCATTATCGCCGTATTTAATTGCGCAGAAAATACACTCAGCTAATATTGCGGGTGTTTATCTGCATTGTGTTCTTGAAAACAATTAGTTAGGTGCTAAGTGGAAATGAAAAGTTCCAATGAAATGAAATCCTACACACACAAGCATGGAGTTGTCACTCAAAGAGTAATGTTTGTGGCCCCTACCCTCTCTAGTCTAGTGACTGTTTCATGCAAATGCATGTCCTGAGTGGCGGTGACCACCGCTGCTGGCCCTGACCCCTGACCTCTGACCCGGCTGTAAGCCTTCTCCACGGCCTGGGGTCAGTAGAGTTTTTTGTTTTTCTTTCCTGCATGGCGATGCTGAAATGGCCGTCTCTCCTTTCTCTTCCTCACCCACCCTGTGGAGAAGCCGAACCCCCTTCCCCATACCCAGTAAAATCAAGCCCTCATTCCGTCCTTCGAAGCCCATGTCCTGTGGTCCTGGTCGCTGTCTCTCAGCTATCGTGCCCAGCTTGCCATTGCTAACCGGCAGCCAACTATCGCCTTTCCAATTCTGCTACCTGCCGAACGGGACGTCACCCCATACGCCACTGGGTGTCAGTGTCAGTCAGTGTCCCCGACTGAAAAGTGTCCCCAGTACCTGGGGCACAAGCCCGAGGACAGCGCACACAACAGGCTCTCTGTGCTCTTTGTATTAGAGCCTCTCTTGCCGAATCCAATTTTCGGGGCCGTCTTAGCGGCGATGCAGGGATTAGCTCCCGGGTATAATACGGTCGCCCTGATGTCATTATCGTTTATATAGCTCCCAGCTGGACCGGCGCGGCGGGGGGAGTGCTGCTGCACAAACCGAGCCGTCCCGATAACAGAATAACACCCATTACCCATAAGGCCCGGTGTCTATGGGCCCCTAAAACAGACGATGGTGCAGCTGGCTCTGCATGCCAAAATGGATTTTACTGCCGACAGTGTGACTTTATCTCCACGGATGCGCGGGCGACTCCCGTATAACGACGCGCGCAACGGGGACGTGAGCAGTGATGCCGGCGTGTTTTGACAGCTAGGAATTTGCTCATTCATTGAGCTGAAAAATACTGCCCTAAAGGTTTACCGCTCTGGTCTCGACAGGATATAAACAAAGATGAGCCGTTTAATTAGGCCCCTTTAATTTGTATTTAGAGAACATTCCTGGTTGATTTGCACCAGGCCTTTATCTATGTGTTCTTACTGTGGAGCGTTTAGTTTAAAAAGACTAATTAGCGCTCTTTATTGACTACTACGCACAGCCTAGCTATTATTGTGAGAGAAAGCAGAGAGGACCTAAAAGCTTCTGTCGGGGAGCTATTTAAGCGTGGGGCTCTTCTCCGGGCTGAGGGGGGGCTCCTGATTTGAGTTCATATTGAGTTTAAGAACGACGCACAGCCGTCCCCACAGCGCTGACGCGGCTGATAGCTGGGTACTGGGCCGGCTGGTAGTGCTTCTGCTCCTGGTACCGTCGTCATCATCATCACCATTATCATCTTCATCATCACATCACCATCATCATCATCACATCACCATCATCATCATCGTCATCATCACATCAACATCATCACCATCATTACCATTGTCACCATCATCATCATCATCACCATCATCATCGTCACCATCATTGTCATCACCATCATCACATCACCATTATCACCATCATCATCATCACCACCACCATCATCATCGTCACCATCATCGTCATCATCACCATCATCATTACCATCATCACCATCATCATCATCACCATCATTGTCACCATCATCACCATCATCATCGTCATCATCATCATCGCATTGTGTTCTCTCCTGACTGATCCTGGAACATCTGCCTTACTCTCTTCACCTCTTGGACGTAGGACACTGATTTTCGGTAGAGCTTCAGAATTATGGTCTTCAAGCATCAGTGCGCCTGTTGGGGAGACGCCCCAAAATACTGCCCTCCCCCAAAAAAATAATCATGCTGAGATGCTAAAAAAGAACAACTGAAGCATATGGTGCATCCTGGTAACACCGCTGCTGAAGGCCCACCCTGCCCCCACCCTGGTAACACCGCTGCTTCCCCCCACCCTGGTAACACTGCTGCTTCC